CTCCTCCCTTGTCTCATGACCCGACCCCCCCCTCCCGCTGGTGGTCTCAATGTGCCTCTCGTGCTCGTCCTGTCTCTCCTGTTCAGCGCTATCACCCTATATTTCTCGGTTCTCACGCATCTCGTGCTCCCCTTCTACCGTCGCCTCCTCAGTCGTTGCTTGTTGTCTCCCCTCCTCCTCTATCTGACTTCCTCCATGTCACTAGTCCGTTTGTCCCTCGCGTTCTCGCTTCTCTTGTCACCGACCTGTCCGTTCCTGTTTCCAGTCTTGATGCTCTTATCGTTGCCGTCGCTGACTTTGCCTCTAATCACCGCCTTGGCTACGCCACCGCTTTGGTTTCTTACCCTGCCCGTCCTCCGTCCGTTAGGGGTGCACCTGCCCTTGGAAGTGACATTCTAAAGGGCAGGCAATACTAGCATGCTTTTGTATTCGAGGCCGCTCCCCATCTCTGCTCCATGCTGCTATTCCCTGAGGGTGACACAGACGCCTTTGACATCCCGACCCCCCGCTCTTATGCTGAGGCGACCTCGGGACCCTGGACCTCTCAATGGATAGTTGCCACGGACGCGGAGATGGCATCTTGGAGATCCACTAGCACCTACGTCGACGCAGTTCCCCTACTTGGGGTGAACGTAGTCGATGGCCGGTGGCCCTTCAAGGTGAAGCACCGTCCCGGAGAGCCGCTGGTGTTCAAGGCGCACTACATTGCTAGAGGCTTTTGTAAGCGCGAGGGTGTTGACTTTTTTCAGACCTTTACCTCGACCCCGAAGATGACCACTCTTCGGGCGTTGCTACACGTAGCACACCGCGTGACTATGACCTGCACTCACTCGACTTCTTGACAGCGTTTCTTAAGGGTAGTCTCACGAGCAGGTCTACTTGTGTCGCCCGCCAGGCTTCACCGGCTCCTTCGTCCCGGGGACCCAGTGGCTCCTCCAGCGCCCGGTTTACGGCCTGCGGCAGGCCCCTTGAGAGTGGCATGACACTCTTCGTGCTACGTTAGCTGATCTGCAGTACTTCCCATCCTGTGCAGACCCTTCACTCTTCGTTCGTTCAAGTCAGACATTGTTCTACGTATACGACCTGGTCTTCGCCACTGCAGACAGAGACGCACGGGCCTCTGTGAAGGTCGAGCTGCTAAGGAGACACACCTGCACTGACCTAGGAGAGCTGCGCTACTACCTTGGCTTGCAGGCCTCCAAGGACAGAGCAACGCGCACCATCAGTCTCACACAGCCGCACGTGGTGCGCCAGGTCTTTCAGAGGTACGGTCTTCAGTTCACCTTCGCACAGCCCACACCTCTGCCAGTAGTTCACAGGCTCTCAGCTCCAGTCCCTGAGGAGTCAGTACAGCCTAGTGGTTCATACGCAGAGCTGGTGGGTTGCCTCATGTACTTGATGACTTGCACTCGTCCAGATCTCGCATACCCTCTTAGCATCCTGGATCGCTTTGTGGCCACAAGCAGACATCGGCCATAGCTGGTAGGCAACTAAGAGGCTTTTGCGTTATCTAGCAAGAATATCGGGCATGGGGCTAGTGTTAGGAGGACGCAGGCTAGTGGTGTGAGAGTACAACCCCGTTACACTTCTTTCTCATTTCCATCGTTTTCCTCTATCACATTGTTAGTTTTATCCTGATTCATCTCATCTTTATCTCATCTCATTTTGTTTCCTATTCCTCATTTTCCATTATCCATTGGTTTATCCTATTATTTTAATTGTATCATCGACTAGGCTCGGGACGTACTGGCGCACTATATCTAGTGTAATCCTGCTGTAATCCCTTTAAGCCAATAGCTTCGGGTGGATATACGCAGGGTGATTCTATTTCTATAAGGGTCTATTCCCTTAGGATAGGATAAAACTGGTTACCTGATGTACCTTGGAAGTATAAAAGCGCCTTATATCAATCGTTAGTGCAACTATTCATCGACCCATTCGATCCCGTAACACTTGGTAATAAGAGCTTTTCTCACTCAATTGCGCTCAGCTAAACAGTAGCAGCGTGAAGACCTGCCTCGGAAAACCGATGGGGGCGACTTATTCAGCGCCGATTTTGGTAAGCACCAGCTCCGCGTTTTTCGAATTAACCCCTCTGCGCACGTTTTGAACAAGATGGCGAACATTTACAACGCCGAGGTTACCCAGCAGCTCTTCGCGCGCATCACCGTCCTACAAGAGGAGATGCGAGCCGACCGCGAAGCTTGGCGAAACGAGTTCGAGCGAGTAACTCGACTCGCCGGCGCGCAGCACGAAACGACAACGGCGACGACGTAGCAATCACAGCTGTTTCTCGAGGCTCCGAAGCCGAGCCCACCTGAGTTGTTCGATCCGAGCGATCGAAATTCCGACGTCCGCAGATGGATCGCCGGCATGGAGATCTACTTCGCAGCCGTCAGATGGAGCTCACTTGTCTGGGACGGTCAACGCATGCGATTCGTGGTGACACTGATGCGAGGGCCGGCACTTGAATGGATCGACGCCAACAGTACCTTCATCCACGGCGAAGCCACGTGGCAGAAGTTTCTCACCAACCTGCTGCAACGTTTCGAGGCGGTAAATTCCAGTTTCCTTGCCCGGAAAAAAATTCATCGCCATCGACAGTTCGGGAGTGTAGCACAGTACACGTAGCGGATGGAAGAATTTTACAACCGCATTCTCAACCTGACCTAAGGGGAAAAAGTACAATCGTATCTCGCCGGGCTGAAGACCAAAGTGAAACGACACGTAGCAACGACAAATTACGCGAGCTACAGTGACGTCGTTTCAGTAGTGGAGCGGTTTGACATGGTCAACGTCGGAACACGACGGGCACACGTCGGCAATACACGATAGGGCGACCGCTTGGCTCACCCCACGTTCTCTGACCCGACGGAAATCGACAGGTTCGACGGGTAGCCACGTCTGAAAAACACCAACTTCATGTGTGATTTTTGCGGGGTGCCGGGCCATCGAATCTCCGACTGTACTAAAATGAAAGCCGCACGTGCAGAGTATCGGGCGCGCAACAGTGGCGGAAATTCTTCGGCCAATTAGAAGAAAATAATCGGGAATCGCCAGTGATTGCGGATCTAGCTGGCGAAAAGGAAATGATCCGAAAGCGGTCGCGGGATTCCGGAAAAACCAACTTCAACGAAGCTGATTCGACGCGAGCAGGAGGAAATGATGGGGGAATATCTCCACCCAGCAACCAGTCTTCGCCAAGGAAAATCCCTGAGAAAAAATATGATTCTGCGAAAAAAGACGCTGTCGAGACGGAGAAACTCCTATAAGACCCAAGAAATTATAAGGATTTGTTAAAAGTTATCTTAAAAATATGCTTTAAAGAAAACTTATGATTCTCAAAGGGCTAGAGCCTTGGAGAAATCTCTGGAGGGACTCCAAAAGAAGCAGAAAATTGTGGAGATCGTACCCGTACCGGAGAACTTGGAGAAAAAATCAAGGAGTGTGGAAAGAAGCCAACCTTACCATGGAGTCAACGTCCTCTCCCGACACCAGCCCACAACGACTACCCGTTCCCCAAGGAAGACGTCGATGGAGCCGAAGCAGCTCAAGAGCCAGTTGGGGGTCTACAAGAAGCTGCAAAAGCCCCGAACTCCTCCTTCGAATGCATCCAGCTCAGCAGCTTCGGCATCAACAACACATACAGTCGTCAAGGAAACTCCGAGCCCTGGGGAAGAGCCTCGGCCTGCTGCCAGCCCAGGAGTAGAAAGCAATGAAAAGGTGTGTACAAAATATTAGGATGTACCTTATGATCCGATTAACGAAACTATCTTTGGGAACTCCTAGCAACGCCTGCCCCTCGTGCTTGAGGTCATCTGCAAGGACGACGCCTCCAAGCACTCGTGGACAGCGTAGCGTCGCACACCGTATGCGACAAGGCAGCAATCGACCGACTTCGGGAAGAGTACAAGCCTTCAGCATTCTCTACAACAATGGTGGATGGTAGCAAGTTACCAGCCTACAGTGAAGCAGTGTTACACCTACAAATCGGACCACTGCATTGGAAACCTGCACTCCCCATCACCAACATAAAAGGGCTTGACTTGATCTTCGGGCGAGACTTCCTAAAAAAAATCAACCCTGAGATCATTTGGATAAACCGTACGCAAGCATCTATAACAACGGAAGGAGAGTCCAGCTACCCAACTGGGATGACACAGGAGATATCCCAGTGGAGACACTAGCTAGGTTGGAGAAGGACGTGAAACAAACCGACACCGGGTTCCTGGTGATAGCATCAGATGTGGAAGACGACGGAGAGAAAACCTCGGAACCTCCATAAAAAATCAAGGAATTACTGAAAGTGTTCCAAGAAATTCTTCCCGACGACCTTCCGAACGAACTACCGCCATACCGAACGCACCAACGTAAGATGGTGGAAGAACTAGGTTCGAAGCCGACCTTCTGAGCACCATATCTGCTCAGCCCCACAGAGCTAGCCCACATGAAGAAACAGATCGAGTATCTCCTCGCAAAAGGACTCATCCGGCCATCCACTTTGCCATGCGGTGCCCCAGTACTCTTCACACCGAAATCGGACAAAAGCCTGCGCATGTGCATCGATTACCAAGCTCTCAACAAGCATACTATCAAGAACAAATACTCGATTCCACGAATCGATGACCTATTTGACCAGCTTCGGAGAGCCACGGTATTTTCCAAACTGGATCTGCGGTCCGGATACTAGCAGATACGAATGGCGGACAATTCCATCAACAAAACTGCCTTCCAAACTCGGTACGGGTCGTACGAGTATCCGGTAATGCCGTTAGGACTCACCAACGTACCGACAACGTTCCAAGCCGAAATGAACCACATTCTATGCCCACTCTTGGACAAATGCATGGTGGTGTGCCTGGACGACATCCTCATCTACTCGCGTGATATGAAGCAGCACGTCGAACACCTGCGACGCGTCTTCGACATTCTTCGACGATAACGATTCTAATTCATATTATCCAAGCGCGAATTCGCCCTCGAGATGGTCCAATTCCTAGGACACATGGTGAGCGCTCAAGGAGTTCACGTCGACCCCAAGAAGATCGAAGCTGTACGCGCGTGGAAGGCACCCGAGAACGTGAAGGAGTTGTAGTAGTTCCTAAGCTTCGCTAACTATTACAACAGGTTCGTGCCACAATACGCGACAATCGCCGCGCCACTCACAAATCTGCCAAAGAAGAACACGCCCTATAAGTAGGAACCAAAACATATGGAAGTTATGGAGCATGTGAAATAAGTGCTCACGCCCGCACGCGTACTCATTTTGCCAGACCCCGAACGCGACGACAGCATCGAAGCTGACGCTAGTGACCGCGCAGTGGGAGCAGTCTTGATGCAATCCAGGGGAATGGACTGCAACCAATTGCCTATCTCAACAAAAAAATGCACGGGGCAGAACTAAACTACACGATACACGACAAAGAAGCCATTGATATTATCATCACCTTCAAAACGTAGAGATGTTACCTCGAAGGACGAAAAACAACTGTCTACACCGACCACTGCAGCTTGAAATACACTGACGGAAAGTATTGTCCACATGTTTGTGACTTAGAGGAATTTTGCCATTTTAGGGGGTCATGGACATTAAGCCTTAATCTTCTGGTGTGCTTAGTGTATGTAGGTTGGGGTAAGGCTCTACGCCCATGCCTTACATCACACAAGTATAATGATGTTTACAACAAATACCAGAAAATAACAACCTTTCTGCATGTGGACAATTATTGCCAGGCGCAAGCAGCAAGTTACATCAACCCCAAACTAGTACCTAATCCACCGCCCTTTCGCCTTAATCACCACCCTCACCCTCCTGGGCATGCTTTCCACCAGGTGGGTGCACACATCCGCCGGGATCTTCTCCCATTCCTCCTGCACCCGCTCCCAAAGGTCCAGCATACCAGTGGGAGGCTTATAAGGCTTGGCCAGCTACCTCTTGAGATGAGCCCATAAATGCTCCATTGGGTTGAGATCGGGTGAGGAAGACGGCCACTCTAGCACCCCAAAATCTTGCTCTCTATGCCACTCATGTAGGATACGCGACTTGTGCTTCGGGTCGTTGTCGTGCTGGAAGATAGTTTTCGAGGGTGTAAGCTGGTAAAGCTCAATCGTACTGTTGAGATCGTCCTGCAGTATACTCAGCCAGAGCAGTCCGTCCATCCTACCATATGTTTTGCTCATGAAACCCGCTCCCTTTTACGACATGCAGTCGTAAATCATGAAGCAACCACCCCCGTGTTTGACGGTCTGCTTGATTTGGTGTCTTGTGAACGCAGGCATATGAGAGTCCGTCGGATGCAAGACGACCGATCTTGGTCTCATCCGAACAGATCACTCGCTTCTAGTCGTCAACCGTCCAGTCTGCGTGGGCACGCGCCCATTCCAGCCTATCGCGTATGTTTTTCCGAGAGTGTCGCAGCTTCTTGGGATGCTTGATTGCGACAAGTCCGCTCCCATTCAAAGCGTTACGCAATGTCTTAGGATGCAACGTGATGCCGTGCTGCTTCTCAACGATTTTCGCCACGTGAGCGGAGATTTCTGCATCCTCGAGGGTGATCTACCCACTACTCAAGGGACTCAAATTCTTTAAAATAGGACACTTCATCAGGACACACACGACAGCATGCACCGAGGAAACGACACAGCTGTTCGTTCGCTACATCATCTCACACCATGGCATTCCAACCACACTCATCTCCAACCGAGACCCCAAGTTCACCAGCAAGTTCTGGAAGGAAGTGATGTCTCTGCTCGGGACCAAACTCGCCATGTCATCCGCCTACCATCCACAGACAGATGGACAGACCGAGCACCTCAACCAAATTGTACAGCAACTCATCCGCGCAGCATGCAAGGACGAAATCTCTAAATGGGACTTGCATCTGCCTGTCCTGGAGTTTGCCTACAACACCGCCTCTCACGCTGCTACTGGACAGATGCCATTCTTCCTCTTTTATGGATGCATCCCACCCACGGCATAAAAACCAATAGCATCTGCCACAGTCCAACCCACACACAACTTCATCACGGCCATGCATCAGCTTGGGGATCGGACCCACAAGCGCTTTCTCGACATTGAGCAGCAACAGAAGCGCCAGGCCGATCGCCACCACACTGACCACACCATCACCGTGGGAGACCAGCTTCTACTCGACACCTGCAATCTCAACATCAGTCATCTCCCATCCAAACTTCAACATCGCTTCCGCGGGCCCTTTCTCGTCGAAGCACAGGTCACTACTGTTACCTTCTGCTTACGCCTAACATGGTCTTCACCGGATGCCAGCCGCTATCGCCGCCGCCCGTCCTCATCCACGATGAACCCGAGTACAAGGTTGAGTCTGTGCTTGCACACCGCCCTCTTCGGAATGGCACCGTGGAGCTTCTCATTCATTGGAAGGGTTATGATCCTTCTGAGGATAGCTGGGTTCCTGAATCTGAGATGGGTAACGCTCGTCGTCCTCTTCGCAACTACCTTGTCAAGCAGGGTGTTACTTCTACCACCCAGCTTTGAGGGGGGGGAGTGTGAGAGTATGGCCCCGTTACACTTCTTTCTCATTTCCATCTTTTTCCTCTACCACATTCACATTTTTATCCAAATTCCTTTGATCTTTATCTCATCTCATTTGGTTTTTCTTTCCTCATTTTCCATTCTCCTTTGGTATCTCCTACTATTATTATTATATCACCGACCAGGCTCGGGATGTACTTGCGCGCTATATCTAGCGTAATCCTGCCGTAATCCTTTAAAGCCAATAGCCTCGCGTGGCTATTCGCAGGGTGATTCTATTTCTAGAAGGGTCTATTCCATTTGGATATGACAAAACTGGTTATCTGATGTACCTTGGAAGTATAAAAGCACCTTGTATCAATCCAGACTGCAATTTTTCCTCGACCCATTCGATCTTGAGACAATTGGTTCTTATACGGCACAAAGACGCTTCATGGGCAGACGATGCTGAGACGCTCAGGTTCTCCCAGGGCTACTGCTTTAGCCTTGGTGCAGGCGCCATCTCGTGGAGGTCCACCCGCTTGTCGTCTATTGCCCATTCTAGCTGTGAGGCTGAGATATACTGTACACTGGTGCCATGGTGGCACAAGAGCTCCACTGGCTGACATTCTTGCTCATAGACTTAGGTGAGCGGCCTAACTCTGCCTCAGTCCTGTACGCTGACAACAGGGCCATGATCCTCCTGTGTCAGGAGCCTCGATTGGAGGGCAGAGCGAAGCACATCCAGCTGCGGTACTTCCTCATGTGCGAGCTGCAGCAGCGCCGCCAGGCCCGCGTAGTTCACTTGGCCTCCGGTGCCAACACAGCTGATATCTTTACTAAGGTGCTTGCACCTAAAGATCATCAGCGGCACTGTGTACAGCGTGGTCTAGTTCTTGTAGATTCTCACTTGCTAGGACTTTGAATCTGTACTATATCTTATAAGACCGTGACTGTCGTTGTGTCTCCAGTTCCAATGGCTGGACTAGTAGTGCCCCCTGGGGTACTCTTGCTTAGCTTGGACTCTTGCTGTCTGGTCTCCAGACCCTTACCTCACAGGTTGGACTAGTAGTGCCACCCTGAGCTGCGTGTCTCTTGCTAGTCGTTGGTCCTTGTCTAGCCTAGGGGGTGTGTCAACATATATTTGTATATGTTCTAGGCTAGATAGGTCCATGCTCATAGAGAGTACAACTCCTTGGGACAAAACCACACTGCATTGTTAGAATACAAGAATGACTAGAAACAAGTGTGAAGAATGAATATATAGGTTTGGAGTTGTACCCTCTAAGAACACACACCTATCTAGCGTATAACTTCTACATACAAACATATGTATAAGTTGACACACCTCCTAGGCTAGATAAGGGGCAGTGCTGAGCAAGAAACACGCAGCTCAGGGTTGCACTACTAGTCCAACCTATGAGACAGGGGTCCAAAGACATGTCAGCAAGAGCACAAACAAGACATGGGAAAACCAGAGCGACACTACTAGTTCAGTCACTGAAAGAGAAGCCACAAGGCCAGTCTAAAAGGTATATATAAAGAGGAGTACACAATCAAGGTCCTAGCAAGTGAGAAGGTACAAGAACTAGACCAAGCTGCAAACAGTGCCGCTGATGACCTTAAGGCGCAAGCGCCTTTGTAAAGATATCAGCTGTGTTGGCAACCAAGGCCAAGTGTACTACGCGGGCCTGGCGAAGCTGATGTAGCTCGCGTAGGAGGAAGTACCGCAGCTGGATGTGCTTCGGTCTTCCCTCAAGTCGAGGCTCTTGACAGAGGAGGATCATGGCCCTGGTGTCAGCGTACAGGATCGGGGCAGAGCTAGGCCGCTCACCAAAGTCAGTGTGCAAGATGGTCAGCCAGCGAAGCTCCTGTGTCGCCATGCAACTAGCGTAGATCTCAGCCTTATAGAGTGAGCAACAGACGAGGAGCGAGTGGACCTCCACGATATGGCACCTGAACCACGGCTTAAGCAGTAGCCCTGAGAGGACCTGAGGGTCTCAGCATCGTCTGCCCACGAAGCGTCTGTGTGCCCAGTAAGGACCACTAGCCTGCGTCCTCCAAGCACTAACCCCATCCCCGATGTACTTGCTAGATATCGCACGACCCTCTTAGCGGCCAACCAGTGCTGTGGTCGATGTCTGCATATGGCCACAAAGCGAGCTAGGATGCTGAGAGGGTATGTGAGATTTGGACGAGTGCAAGTCATCAGGAAAATCAGGCAACCCACCAGCTCTGCGTAAGGACCATTTGGCTCTACTCACTCCTCAAGAACTGGAGCAAAGAGCCTGTGGTCTACTAGCAGAGGTGTGGGCTGTGCGGAGGAGAACTGAAGACCGAACCTCTGAAGGACCTAGCGCACCAAGTGTGACTGTGTGAGAGTGATGGTGTGAAGAGCCACCGGCCATCGACTACGTTCACTCCAGGTGGGGGAACTGCGTCGACGTAGGTGCCGGTGGATCTCCAAGATGCCATCTCCTGCTCTATGGCAGCAATCCGCTGAGAGGCCCATGGTCCAGAGGTCGCCTCATCGTAAGTGCGACGGGTCGGGATCTCAAAGGCGTCTGGGTTACCCTCAGGGACTAGAAGCATGGAATAGAGATGGGGAGCAGCCTTGGACAGGAAAGCAAGCTCATACGGCCTGTCCTCTAGGACGTCATTGCCAAGGGCAGGCGCACCCCTGACGAACAGAGAACAGACAGGGTCAGAGACCAGAGCGGTGGTGTAGTCAAGGCGGCGAGTACAGGCGAAGTCAGCTACAACAGCAACAAGAGCGTCAAGACTCAAGACAGAAACAGACGGGTGGGTAACGAGGGAGGCAAGGATCCGAGGAACAAGAGGACGAGCAGCATGAAGGTAGTGAGACAGAGGGGGAGGCGCGATAGCGAGCGACGATGGAGGAGGCGAAGGCAGGAGGGGAGGACGAAATGCGTGGGAACGAGGCAACATAGGGTGAGAACTCTGAACAAGAGAGACAGAACGAGCACAAGAGGGACGGCGAGACCAGACGTGAGACGGAGGCATCGGGTCAAGAGACAGAGGAGGAGACAGAAGAGGGGAATAAGGGGAAAGACGAGATGGAGACGAGTCCGGCGGAGGGAACACAGGGCCGTCGACAGGAAGGGAAGGAAGCAGCGGGGGAGGCGTAGGCAAGCAGTCAGTGGAGGGAAGGTCGAGCAGGCGAAAGGTGGATACCGGTGGCGACTGCTGCTGCTGCTGCTCCACGCCGACACCAGGACAGCCAGCTTCACCACGGCTACCTCCAGTACACTCCACTCCAGCACCCCTAGAACCAGAACCCCCAGAGCGAGAACTCTCTCCACCACCGGTGCCACCCCCAGGCCAGCCGGGACAAGCCACAAAAGGAACCCAAGGACTAGCACCTTCCTCAACGCTAGCACCCCCAGAGTCCACGAACAGCTGCTGTTGCGGCGGCGGCGGCGACTGCTGCGGTGGTGGCGGCTGCTGCTGCTGCAGCTACAATGACGGCTGCGGCGATGGCATCGACGGAGAAGGAGACACCGGGGGAGAGGCAGGCGGCGAGAACGGCACCGCGGGGCCACCAGAGTCAGCCGACTCCTCGACCGAAATAACCGACGGGATGGGAGTAACGTGAGATACACCAGACGGGGAAGGACGGGGAGGAAGGTGAGCAGGGGCTACCGAGGGATTGGGAACCAGAAACAGGGGAGGGGAAGCTGGGAGACCTCAGTGGGGAAAGCGGTGGTAAATGGAGACAAACTCGTCGAAAGTAGCGTCACAGAAGTGAAAGAAGCGGTGAGACGAGTCAAGGGGGAAACCGAGGAAGACACAGGGGACATTGCGGACAGTGAGCTTGTCCGTGGCAGAGACATGAACGTGAGCAAGGCAGACCCAGACGTGGAACGCAGATGCGTCACCAGGGAACCCGATCCAAAGAAGGGTCTGCGAAACCTGCGGTCGCTGGGAGCACGGCCACAGGTTAAGCTGGTGAGCGGTGTAGCGAACGGCGAACGGCCATAGAAAATGGGGCGCATCGGCATAGATCATGGAGGTACAAGCCACCTCCATGACCAAACCAATGCGTCGCTCAGCGACCCCATTCTGCTGCGGGGAGTCCGGTAGGGTGTACGACTGGGTGATGCTCTCCGCACGGCAGAACTATCCAAGCCGACCAGAGGCAAACTCGCCGCCACGGTCGGAGTTGAGACTCAGCACAGGGAGACCGGGGTGGAGGCGTGCAGCTACGATCCACGGGATAAGAATGCCAGGCACGTCGGCCTTCAGCTCTAGGGGAAACACCGTGCTGTAGTGCGTGAAGTCGTCGACGAGCACGAGAAAGTGGCGCTCGCGACGCGGTCCGGGGATGGGGGCTGGGCCCTAGATGTCCAAGTGCAGGGTCTGGAGGGGTGCGGTGGGAGGGCGAAGTGAGGAGGAGTGAGGAGCACGGCGCAGCCGGCCCTCTACGCAGGGCGTGCACGGCGGCGCAGGCGAGGAAGGGAGGGCATGAAGCGACGCAGGGAGACCTAGGAGGAGAC